GATACTAATAATATTTGTCATGAAAAATCACAAACTATATGTGACAATAATTATGACTTCTAAAGAAATTTATCCTAAAGATGAAAATTTAGGTACATACTTATCTTCATTAGAACCTCATCAAGGCTCACCCCTTACGTACAATATTTTTATGATAGAAATAATAAAGTGTACATATATAGATTTAGCCAGTTTAACGATCTTAGAAGACTTGTATCATTGATACTGGGTGATGATTGATGGGGAAGTGAAGATATTGATAGTTGCAGCATTCAAACCACTGGCTCCATGATTACTCTCCTCGTTCTCTACCAATTGAACTACAAGACCATACTGCTGATTAGATCTGAATTTCCCTTCAATCATCAAGGGTTTTACTCAACTGTCTAGTGAATTCTTGATGCATAACTGATGGTATCATTCAGTAGAGTAACAGACTAGCAACTCGGATAGCGTTTGTTCGAATCCTGCAACAGCTTTCAATTATCAACCAGTATCAATTATACAAGTCTATCAAACTGCAGTAAGGTAATAAACAAGCTTTCCCATGAACATATAGCTCTGGTTTGATAGACTAATGGAGATCGACTCAGATATTTACAGACGACGAATTTATATCACCTGTAATGGATAGTTTTTTATTCTTATTGTTAGAACACAAATATGGTACAGCAAGGGCACCAAAAAATGCACCACCTGAAATACTATAAAAACATTGTGAAGACATAAACGATGGGAAGTGTATAAGTAAGAAAGAAAAATAATAAGAATAGCATAATTAGAACAGCAGTCCAGAAAGACACATTCGAAATGTAACATTGATTACTTCTCAGCATCAGAAGATAGAAGAAGGAAGCTACAGCAAGACCACCACTGGTTTTGATTCTGACCCATATCTGGTAACGTCTGAAGCTACTGAGTTTCATGATCTCTCGGACCCCACCCGGCAAGCTGTGATGCACCAACAGATGCCCACTCGATACAAGTATCCTTCATTCCACGGCGCCAAGTCATAAACTGACCTCCTCTCCGCTTCTTCCATCCAGTCCCAAGGTTATCAAATAGTGAACGGCGTGGAAGCCGTTGGGACAACATGCATAACAGATGTCTAATCCACCGAAGCTGCTGTTTTTAGATGGCTTCTTTCACCGAATGACCATCTCCATCATGTCTAGAACACACGCCGTCGTACCTCAGGATTGCTTACATGGATACGAGCAATCCTACGGATAAAACGATGACCGGTCACACAGTCGTCGCATATCCTCAGCTCAGAGACGCCAGGTTCCACAGGTGTAGAGCAGAAATGCTTGCACCGAAGCGTTTTAAACCCGAACTTTCACTTTCAGACTAACGTCGCAACCGTACCAAAGGTGCCAAGATTAACGTATGCTACCACACATCTCCACCAGCACTCACACAACTACCAAGATACACGAACGTTTCGACTACTTCCAATGACTCACCACTAAGGGTGAGTGCATGCACATGCTCCTGCCAATCTTGCAGAAGTACTTTGCACTTTAATGGTACAAATCACATACAATACTTACAGACAGTTAGTTGTCTAATGAATCACTGACAGTTTTAATTTTAAATGCACAGCATAACCAGTATCGGTTAAGTGTGTCGGGAGCCACCTGATAATCTTCACTTCTTTTCACTTTCATCAATCACACCGTTAGATAAATACCTCAGATTTCAGGTCTCCAAATACGTTGACTGAGACTGTCTAAACCTAATTTGACATATAGCTTGACTATCACCCAAGGTCTTCAGTTGATATCTACTTCACTTCTAGCTGGTTAACCTCATGGGTTCTCATTTGAACTTCCGAATTTCTATCTCTAACCATGTCACCAATCGCGGATAGTCGTGCTATATTGGGAATTGACAGAAGTAAGAAACTGTTAACCATCGGATTCCAACCCAGTGTTTGAAGGATTAACGCGTTCACCATGAGACGTGAAATTCCTGGACCCAATCCATGGTGTGGTTGTGCGTGCGTCTTACCGATGAGTCCCATACAAGGACGACACAACCATCCAGTGCTCTCAGGTTCAGATGATGAATACTATCTTGAAATAAATAGAATCCATAATGTTGTTATTATTATTATTTTTCCTTTGGGTTCCAGGTGGAACATAGGGATTCAGTAGCACGCCTCTACTGCACTCTCTTCTCTTCAGTCTTTCCAACCTGGCTCCACGACTACCCACCAGTTTTTGTTTCTTCCTCACACGATCTCCTCCATGTCATCCTCAGCTGGGATGCCCAACTTGTCGTTTCCCCTTCAGATTCCACTAGAGGGCCTGGCCTGGCACGTGATGTTCACAAATGGTTTTCTCAGGGTATGACCATTCTAATCTATATCCACTTCCTTCCGCATATTTGTTAGGTGATACGTTCTTGGTCAGTTGGTTGATTGCCAGGCCAGAGTCCCTTGTTGCTTTTTCTTCTTTTTCTGGCCATCTGATCTTCAGTATCGGGCCAGATTAGGCAGCTGTTGATGAGTGTTTGTAGTTTGTTGGAAATGCTTTTCGTGAAGTGCCAAGTTTCTGAACCAGAATCTATAATGTATGTATATATATACATATATATATATATATATATATATATATATATATGATGTTTTCCGTAGACTATGTAATATTTCAAGTTCATTTATCCAGTTTAGATGACCTTTAATAAGTATATGTATGCGATATGTTTTTTATTACACATTTAGGTGATTTCCTACACGAATTCATGTTAATAAAATATTACCTTAACCTACATAGAGTTCAATATTCAATAGAAAATCTTTTGCAACATTCCACAATATTGAATATCATCTTTTAAAGGAATTAACTATATCAAGATTTATATTTTATATACTCCACATTTTAAACCATACTTTTATCCATTAGTGATCTAATACATTTCAAGTTGTTATTCATCGAAGACTGACATCAGTTGGAGGAACAAAGGAAACCTGGGAGCACTGGACAGCTGTTTCGTCCTAGTATGGGACTCCTCAGCAGTGCGCACCCACGACCCCACCAGCAGGGATCGAACCCGCGACCTTCAGGTTCCGCGACCAGCGTGTTACATTGTTTTACAACTTGATAGGAATTTTATTTTTGTTAAGAAACAAATTGTATTCGTTGATTCTGTTGAAAGGTCAATTAAAAGTGCAGAACCATAAAACTGACATCTTACTATTGACAACAGATTACCTACCTTACATTGGTATTTGTTGTGATTCGATACATCCATCAGTCATTGAGGGAATTATTGTCAGAAAAGTGCTTTATTTGTTAAGTTTCTATGGTTTATGTTAGTTGCATGGAGGAAATCAACCGGGAGGCCTAAACGCAGTTGTCGTAGAGACTGTTAACACTCATTAGTAAGGCATATCTGCAGCTTCGAACGAACTGATGTACCCAATGAGGTTCTAATCCATATCACTCATTACTAAAGAAGTTAAAGTAAATGATAATTAACAAAACAAAACCATCTGTCTTTGGTTGCAGAATAGTACTAACATCTTGATAACAAGGGAACTCAATGTGTTTCAATAGTTTTCTGTCAAACTTGCAGCGATGAATACTACAGTCGATTTCCTGAGAACCTGTAATTGTCTTCTTGTATATATGAAGGGGTTTAATAGACTCATATTATTTATAACAGGAGCTGACTGAAAATGAAATGAAAATCTTAGAGGTGGAAGGATATGAACCAGTGGTGTTCGCCTTGCCGACCCGGTGTTCTATCAAAAGGAACTAATGACCAGATCTTAATTTCAATTCAATTGCCAACTGGTATGTGAATCTATCATCTGTAACTGTTCGTTCATTGCAATCATATTGACTGAAAAGCAGTTGGATTTTGTAGGTCAGTTGGAAGAGTGATCGGCCAGTAACTTGGAAGCCATGGCCGATAATTTCATACGTCTCCATCATGTATCAATGGTTAGAATTAAACTACACATATAATAAAACTCATTAGGTTATCTTCTGTTCAGGTAAATTTTAAATATTGTAAAGGTAATCTCCAGTGAAAAATTGAAGAAACCTTTTTAATTTCCCATCTGCTATGGTTCCGTTTTTGTCACTCTTATTGATTAAGCTATTCTGTGATGATTTGTTATTCTTCTTATTGTCGACCAGATGACTGATGCCGTCCATGTGAATGTGTCTTCTTGCCACCGTCAATGAACGATTACTTTGTAACTGAATATTGATGTTTTCTGAGCTCTGATATTTTGTTGTGGACGTTTCATCGAACATCATATGAACCCTTAGATACTGTTTAAAACACAAGAAAGCTAAAAAATGGAATAGTTTTACAGGATATTTTAAGGGAATTTTTATTGTTATTTACACCTACAATTTTGGAATATTGAAGGAGGAAAGTAATTACTTAATCTAGTGAAAAGTGACTATGGATAATATGTAAAGAAGATTAACTTCAAGGCAACATCAATGTTTCGATAGGAAAACAAAATGAAAGAGGCAATTTACGAAGTCACGTTACACTTTTTTTATCGTCAAGGTGACTGAAGATTTATTACTGACACTTTTTCAACATGAATGTCACTTCTCAATTGTCTGGTTCTTATAGCCTGATATCACTGTGGCAAAAAACTATTTATTCATGTTTATAGCCAATCATCGGTGAGAAATATCTTCAACCTTAGGGTAGATGGTACTCCCTAAATCATCTTATCCAATGTGCATTACTCTAACTAACTCAATGGAGTGAAAAATCAATATAATCTCAAGGTTGACTGATGTCTTGAGCAATTTCTATCAGGACATAAATTCCAGCCGTATACTTTAATTGTCACTAATATGTATGAAGACCAACCTACCGACTCATAGTATCTCAAGAAATCTAGTAAAAAGCAATGTCAGCTGGTCGATTTTCAATAATACACTTGATAGTATTTGAGTCAGTATATTGTACAACGTTTACTAATATTTTCTAAATTTCACTCAATATATTTATCATTATAGATAACTTTCAACCAAGAAGTGTATACTTCACAAAATATGATCTTTCAAATATTCTACACCTGTTACTTACATCTAGAACAATCTATTTTTCAATTGAATTCATAATGAGTACACTTACTAATGATAGAAATGGTCATACTACATTGATCTGCATTACTGAAGCATCCTCAAAACTGTAAGTAATAAGTTGTTGATTCCTGTTATCATTATTATCATTAATTCAATGGTTTTTAGAGAGAAATTTAGAGATATTATTCATCACGAAGTAACAGGCAGGCTTCAGGAGGTACAAATCATGTGCAGACCAAATTGCAACGCTTCGCATCATCATACAACAGAGCATAGAATGGCAATCAGCTCTCTACCTCAACTTCATCGACTTTGAGAAGGCCATTGACAGCGTCGACCGAGAGGTAATTTGGAAACTGCTTCAATACTACGGAATACCGCAAACCTTTATCAGCCTCATTCAACAACTATATGAAGAAGCCATATACCAGCCAAGTATTTCACAATGGGAAGCTCAGTGATGCCTTCGAAGTGAAGACAGGGGACAGGAGTGAAACAAGGTTGCCTACTATCCCCCATGATATTCCTGATTGTGGTCGACTGGACAGGATGATGCAGCAAACAGTGGGGAGCTGTGAGAAGAGGTGATACACTGGCTGGACTGCGGAAGACAACCTAGAAGACTTGGATTTCGCTAGTGGTGACTTGTGCCTGATGTCACACAAACTTGAAGATCTACAGGCGAAAACTAACAAGTTGACAGAAGAGGTGAGGCAGGGCAGCGAAGACGAGACTTCAGGTGAATGTAGAGAAGACAGAAGTGATGAAGATACCCAACCAAGAACAACAACAACAAGAAACTCCAATCACCATGAACGGGAGAAACTTAAAGGAAGTAACCTCCTTCACCTGTCTAGGAAGCACTGTTTCAACTACAGGCAGCACAGACACAGACGAGGATGTCAAAGTCAGCCAGGATCGGAAACACAGCAAGACAGGCATTCATTGGCCTGAAACCAGTGTGGAGATCTACTGCACTCAGCATGTGGAACAAGATACGGATTTTGAACACCAACATCAGTCAAGTCAGTGCTTCTGTGTGATGGTTGAGAGACTTGGCGCGTTACGAAAGGGATTTCCAATAAACTACAGACATTGATCAACAACTGCTTACGCTGGCTCATTACTGAAGATCAGATGGCCAGAACAATAAGAATAAGTAACAAGGAGCTGTGGGAACGAACCGACCAAGAACCTATCGCTCGACAAATATGTAGAAGGAAGTGGAGATGGATTGGTCATACACTGAGAAGGCTGACTGGGGACATCATGCGTCAGGCCAGTTGCTCGAGTGGAATCCCCATGGGAAGCGACGAGTTGTGTGTCCCAGTTGAGGGTGACATGGAGGAGATGGTGCGAGGAGGAAATGAGAGGTTGTGGGCTGTTGTGGAGCCAGGTTGAAAAGATTTCAGAGAACAGGGTGGAATGGAGACGTGCTAGTGAAGCCCTATGTTCTATTAGGAACCCAAGGGACTAATAAAATAATAATAATAATAATAATAATAATAATAATAATTCATCACGAACTGACATCATTTGAGGAGCCACTGAAAATCTGGGTATATTGGATAGCTGTGTCTTCCGAGTAGAGGACTCCTCAGCAGTACGCACCCATTACAGATCGAACTCCGGACCATCAGGTTTCATTCCAAACGTGTTAACTATTCAGCCACTGGGTCGGAGATCCATGGTTAACAGTTTCCAAGTTCTATCAGTTCATGACATAGTGCATCTATAACTCAAGATCTCCAATTAGCATCCACTTTTCTTCCAACTAGTTGACTCCGCATATCACGGCTTCTCATTAGAACTTCATAATATCCATCTAGAAGTAAGGCATTGATGAGCACTATACAGTAATGTATTTTCGAGATGAATGAGGATTTTAGTTGACAGAAGTTGGAAACTGTGAACCACTGGAAACCGACTCAGTAGCTGAATGGTTAACGCATCCGGCTTGAGACTTTAAGGTCCTGAGTTTGATCTGTAGCCTAGTCGTGGGTGAGTATCGCCGAGTAGTCCCATACTAGAACGGAACAGGTGTTTAGTGCTCCCAGATTTTCAATAGTTCCCCAACTGATTTCAGTCCGTGATGAATAATACCTCATGTGGTAATTGTTATACCTCTGAGTTGACTGTATGACAGGTTGTTCTGATCTTCGCTTTGGTTCAGAGTCCCTATTCGGTCCTATGATTCATGGATTGAGGAAAATGCTCAACACTGCTGTCAAACTATTATTATTCCCCTTAGTTACTATGTGCAAGTTGATCTGACAGCCAGTAAAGTCACACAGGCTAACTAATCTCACAGAGAAGACAAAGTTAGATGGCTAGACCAGATAATACAAAATTATCTTTAGCAAAGTATATGGAGACAAAGTCTTAGAGTCTAGGCGCCGTAATAAGAATGTCAGATAATGAGAACAAAGATTGACATACATGAAGAACATTTGTTGTTGTTGTTGCCCCCATTTATTCTACCTACAGAGATGACAGCGATGTACAGCTGGTTCATTCTTGTTTCAAATTCAATATTTTAGGCTAAGTGGTCATCGGTTGGCAACCGAAGTCGGTGAGTGCCTTTCGATAAAGTTTGCACTGTGGTCACTAAATTAGGTAACGCAATACCATGGTGTGCTGTTTGGTAACATATGTTAAAGGTTAACTGACAGATAAGAATAAATCGCTGGGGGGCAAAGTACAACGTTAGCTATTAGGTGTGTAGGTTGAAATCGCCAAGAGAAGGCTAGTTTTGAGGCTAACAGATATCACTTCTTGACGAGTACCAACAAGTGCGAAACCTTAGCAAGACATAACTTCCAATAAATTGATTTCTAGCAAATAACAAACACCAGTGTTCATATACAATCAAGCCAATGAATTTTGAAGGTCTTTCAGTAAGTGTACACAACCACTGGGTCGGTATGTAGTAGTAAGAATCTCAAAAGACAATTAATTCAAAGAATAAGTCAACCACCAACCAATGTCTTTGATGAAGTGCATGAATCATATATGACTGATTTCAAGGGGATATTCGTCAAGAACTAAAGTCAGTTGGAGAAGCACTTAAGACTTGAGACCAGTGGACAGCTGTTTTCGCCAAGTATAAGATTGCTCATCGCTGAGCCAGTGCCCCTCCAGGGATCGATCAAATGACCGTCAGATTTCGTGATTAGCAAGTTACCATTAGGTATAGTGTGATCATCATCTGGTGTGATTGGAGCACATTTTGCATCACATCCAACTTAGTTTACAACATTGATCATAGTTTCTCATGCAAACTTTGGGACATTCATCTCTAACCATCTCACTAATGATCTCTAGAGAGTAATACAATTTGTAGGTTCGCAATTATGATGAGTCTCACATCAAGATAAAACAGCTGTCCTCTCCTACCAAGTCTCCTTTGGTTTTCTAAATGATATCATTTGCTCATGAATATCATCTTGAAATCAATCAATCCCCATAAAATTTCAAACTGATTAGATGATTGAGTTTGATTTGATGGGTGTTTTATTTGTATTCTCATAAAGTTGAGTTATTCATTATTATTTTTCCCCTAGGTACCTAGTGGAACATAGGGCTTCACTAGCACGTCACCATTTCACTCTCTTCTATACAGTCTTTTCAACCTGGCTCCATGACTCCCCATAACCTTTCATTTCTTCCACACATCATCTGCTACATATCACCCTGGACTCGGACACCCGACTCATCGTTTCCCATGTGGCTTCCACTCGAAGGCTTGGTACGTGATGTTCCCAAATGGCCTTCTCAGTGCATGTCCAATCCAATCCATCTCCACTTTCCTCTGCATATTTGTTGAGTGATAGGTTCTTGGTTGGTTCGTTGCCAGGCCAGAGTGGGTTCCTTGTTGCATATTCTCATTATTCTAGCCATTTGATCTTTAGTGTCAGTATCGAGTGAGCATATGTGATGTATATCTGCAGTTTATTGGAAATGCTTTTCGTAACGTGCCAAGTCTCTCAACCATCACATAAGAAGCACTGCCTTACTTGACTTACATTAGTGTTGAAAATCCGGATGCTGTTCACGCTTTATGCTGCGTACAGTGCAGTAGATCTCCACACTGACTTCAGGTTAAAAGTTGGATTAAATACAGAATAATTTTATCCACTTTGTAACGCTAAACTGAACCATCAGCCTGATACGTAGACTTTGTAATATGTACTCTCAGTTTAAGAAATAATTTACTATATCGTGATTCTTTCCAGATAAACTATAAATGTAATACATGTTAGGTGAATGGGAGCAAACAGCATAAAAACCCGGACCTAGGATTTCTACCTGTTGGCACTCGTCAGCATGGCGTGTTTGTAACCCCGTCGGAATTAATGTCCCGCTGAGGATTCGAACCAGCGCGACCCATTCTCCTAATCAAGGACGTTAGCGCTGAGCCGCGACTGAAATCCTTCGGGACTGAATTAGATACATTGATTAATCACTGGAGGGTAACCGAATTCATATTATCTGGTTCTGTGTGCTGACAGAATTCTAGGTATAGGGCTTCCTGCCAATTGCCTCGATCCAACGAACATCTACCAAAGTATATTGCAATGCTGAGCTGCCTATTCTGGTGGCCACACCGTTAAATGATTGCTTGAATTCGTTCAGCACATAGGACTAGACAACATGAAGTTGGTTGCCCTTCAGTTACCAGTCAATGAAACTATAAATTGGTACATGATTGTAATTAGATGATTTTTTTAAAAACTTCAGGCTCAGCTTGAGCATTCTTTCTGCGCAGCTTTACCATAAAGGTATCTGTAAGCCAGGAAGGATTATGTCAATAAACTTGTCTTCGTGTAACCGTCATTGAGCTACTATTAGGCTCTGAATATCCACCCCAACACTCTATGGGGTTGATAGGTCTGGTTAGCAATAACAACTATAGTATACTACTGATTCATGGTTCAGTGACGCGTTTGCTCATTTCATTTGATGTTTGGAAGTCTGACAGTAAGCACAAACCTGAAACTGCCGGTTAATTCCATGAGCCATTGAAATTTGAATTATTACTATTCACAAGTGCATTACAACAATGTATACAACTGCACTTTACATGATGTATATGTGTATACTTCG